AGGCCACAACAGTGAGAGGCCCGCGTACCGCAAAAAAAAAGAAAAATAGATTTGCAGATAATATACCCATATTTTTGAAATTAAAATGCTAATTTCAAAATCACATTCTGTGTTAGATTAAAAATAATGAATCCATTGCTCTCTTGGGGGACTAATATCCTGGCCCTTAATAGAGTTTGCAACCCATGGAGAGATGAACTTACAGAGTCAGACTTAGGAGATCAAAATATCATTGTAACTGAAAAGTCAATTTGTGAATGTGGCCTTAGATCTGCTGCTAAGTGTGTCTGCTAAAGCTACCCCCAGAATTAAACTGAGGTTAGACTGTGACTCAAGCGTCCTGCCAGAATCAGGTTTTCTGCCACGGGGCAGCAGTCAGGCAAGAACAACTGGCCAGGGAGCTGGCTCTCTAAGAGGAAAGGGCTCAACAGAGCGTGCCCGATTTCCTCCTGTCAATCATCTGTCAGGTAACTCACTCCTTTTCCCACGGGAAAGAGTTAAGAGGACTGGAGAGAGAGGAGTGGTGGTCTAGCTTCTGTACCTGGAAATGATACAGACCAGTGTGCTTGGCCTTCCCTAATCAATAGAAATTGACTAGAGGCCAGACAAGAACTTCAGGCAAAGCTTTACTGGGGCCCCTGCTGCAGCAGGGGGAGCTAGAATGAGTAACAGGTGCCCTTGCTCACTCTCCGAGGGGGGCGAGCTAGTTCCTTATATGGGGTGAGGGTAGGGGTGTGTCCAGCGGTCAGGCTGGAGGGCTGGCGTAAGTGTTTGGCCCACTCCTCTGGTGGTGTTGAGTGCAGGGAGCATGCTCTGTACCCTGCTTTTGCTCCCCACACCCTGTTTTTGGCCCCCAGCTCTTCAGAAGTGGCAGTAAGGTTTTTTGGTCTGTTTGTATCTTTTTGTTCATAATTTGCCCCAACTGTGCACACACTCAGTTATTTTTAGTCCCACATGGTTTCTTTGTATTTTGTTGGTCAAGGAGAGGTCTGTCCAGGTTCACGCCTTGCAGCACTGCAGCAAAGGGTCCCAGGTCCCAGCAGTCTCAGAAACACGAGCAGTGGGAAACAAGTGTGTCCTTCTTACACGTCTCTACTGGACGCTGCTCCCTCTGTCTGCAGCTCTGTCTCTGAGTGCAGGTGTAGCAGTGTTAGGCTTGGTGTCTTAACTTTCTTAATCAGCATCACTAAGTCTCCTGAACAGAGGAGAGGGCTCAGCAGAGGCTCTTGGCTCAACCCTCTCAACACAGTCAGCTGTGTGCCTGGGGCGAACCCCTACATGGTCTGGCCAAGGCGCGATGCCTGTCCTTCACGTAGTCCTTCCAGAATGTCATCCTGGCCAGTGTGGAGAAGCAGCCTTTCTCCTGCCTCGACCGGTTCCTCAGCCTGCAGAGGATCACTTGCAGCAAGTTAGAGGCACTAAGTGATAAAGCAAGACCAGAATCATAATAGACAACATTTATGAATGATATTTCAAATTGCTTGAGGAGCATTGACGGATATGTAACATGTGGTGGATATTAATCAGCACACAGGCTTTTGCATTACATTGGAAATTCAGGAACACCCTCAGAATCACTTTTATGTCTTCAAAATTAAAAGGATGAATTTTAAAGCACTCATCTAAACACCATCAAGGTAAACTAAGCTGTTATTGGATTTGGAGGCTGTACCTTTTGAGGAGAGCTTTGTAAATTTACTATGAAACCTTTTACACTAACTGATACCATTTTTTAAAAAATCGTTAATTTCGGGCTTCCCTGGTGGCACAGTGGTTGAGAGTCCGCCTGCCGATGCAGGGGACACGGGTTCGTGCCCCGGTCCGGGAAGATCCCACATGCCGCGGAGTGCCTGGGCCCGTGAGCCATGGCCGCTGAGCCTGTGCATCCGGAGCCTGTGCTCTGCAACGGGAGAGGCCACAACAGTGAGAGGCCCGTGTACCGTAAAAAAAAAAAAAAATCGTTAATTTCCTGTTAACTATTATTATATTATGTATGCGATTATCTGAACAGTTCTTCAAAACATTTTTACCAAATAGAAAATAAAGGCTCTTTAAAAGGTCCACAAATGAAAAATAAAATATTAAAAATCTCATATGAGAAAAATCCTTAAAGAATGGTTGTAGCTCAGTGAATAATGGCTTCATGTAAAAAGTTGCTGGAGAAAATGCAATTTGTTTTGAAACTTTTTCTGTCAAACTTCAGTCTTGTTGCCAAGCCTCAGCTGGCTTAGAAGCTGTTTTCTAAGGAGACACTCATATAACTAAATTTATTCTTCTTTGAGTTAAGAGACACATGGTATCACTAGATTTTTTAAAAAATTATTTTGTATTTTTTCAGCATTTCTAGATGGGCCATAAGAGGAAGTTTCAGGGATTTATTTCTAGATTTTTCTGGGGTGAGCTGCATACCCAATCCTGAAGGGAAAAAGTGAGAAAAGATGTATCAGTGTTCACACCCTACTTTTTCTCTCATCCAACTCCCAACCATAGGCTTAACAGTCAATACCAGTGCAACACAGGGATACCTATAGATCAGACGACCTAGCTGTGTGTAGTATTGGGCAAGTGACGGTCTCTTAGAATCTCACTTGCTTTATATGTGAGAATAACAATTCCCATCCTGTATACGTCAAGCTGTGTTTTAAAGACAAAGTGTGGGTTATGTATATGAAAATGTTTGATAATTTATTGAAATACTACTTAAATATGAGCCATTTAATACTATTAATAAATATCCCAACAATTTGCATTGGGCAGGCAAACAAATAGAAGAGAACAAAGCAGGCCTTTGACATGCTAGGTGGGATGCTCAGAGACGCTGTTTCATGACTCCAACTGTATCCCTAAACTATAGCCAATCCTGTTAAACATGTGCTGTTGTTCAAAGGGTGAGGATCTTGCTGGCCCTGAGCAATCCTTTATGACACGTCTTCTGAATTAGCAGTAACCGCAGTTGTTAAATCAAGCTTTACAGGTCACACATTTTTCAGTGCTACTATTGTTAACTAATTGCTCTGTATGCGGCACTGTGCTGAGAGCTTTACCTACGCGTAATCCTTCCAAGAATTCTGCGTTGATGTTGTCATCCCCGATTTACGGCTGCAGGAACTGAAGTTTAGAGAGGTTAGGTAACCCGCCCAAGGTCACACAGCTAATAAAGAGGAGAAATGGGATTTGCACTGCTCTGGAGTTGCAGGCCGCTCAACTCCACAGCCCTACCCCACTCCCACACGGTTTCAGCTCCTCATTATTTCCCATATGTATTTATTAAGTAATCAAGCACTCCTGGTGCGACCATGCTGAATTCTGTGCAAGGTGGGTTTCGCCCCTGCTTGTCCAGTTGGGCTCCTTCTCACCACACCTAGCTGGCTGCAAACCACAAGAGCCCTGCCCTGCTTCTGTGCTCAGGTGCTTTGAAAAACCTGACCCTGGGGTATGCAGTCAGCAGCCTGGAAGGGTGGGAACTCATATTAGGTGCACCATACACGGCTTCTTCTCCAAACTCCCATTGTTTGCGAGCAATTGAAGGATTTTCAAATTAGCCAGTAATGAGTACTATTCAGCGAGGCTCACCACTTTGGCATGTAGATTCAGACTTAGCTGCAAGTTGGGAAGAATAATCCTTTTTTTGGCACTGCCTTAGTTACTCTCAGTCACAGAATTTCATAGAATTTTAGCAAATACTGAGAATTTTTTTTGGGGGGTGGGGTGGGGTGTGGGCCTCTCACTGTTGTGGACTCTCCCGTTGCGGAGCACAGGCTCCGGACGCGCAGGCTCAGCGGCCATGGCTCACGGGCCCAGCCGCTCCGCG